TCTGAAGTGTACCTGGCGTATAAGACGACCCCCCACTTGGAGGCATATTTTTCAGGGCCAAAAAATCGTCTTATACGCCGGCAAATACGGTACTTCATCTGTAAAATGATTCACCATAACCTCCTCATAGGCATGTCCGTGGCACTTCTGTGTGGGTACCAGATGTAAAGTGCCTGGCACATAATTATTGAGTACCTAGCTCTTAACCAAACTACCCAGGCACACATCTATGCAGGCCAGTAGCACTAGACCAGTGGTTCTCAACCAGAGGCAATTCTGCGCCCCAGGGGACTTGCCAATAGCTAGAGACATTTTTGGTTGTCACAACTTGGGATGCTACTGGCATCTAGTGTGCTGAGATCAGGGATACTGCTAAACATCCTATAGTGCACAGGACAGTGCCCCCAAACAACGAATTATGTGGCCCAAATAGTCAATACTGAGTCTGACAAATGCTGCAGGAAGTGTTTCCTGAGAGCATACCAAGGCTTATGCATTTCATAGAAGTACTCACAGACAACCCTGAGAGGTGGGGACAATTATGAGTATCTTACAAATGAAGAATCTGAAATGCACAAAGGGCAAGTGATTTGTCTCAGGTCACATCCCTGCTAAGAGGTGGATCTAGGATTATGTCTCTTCAAGGCTCTGATCTTTCCACCAAATTATACTGCCCCTGGATACTAGAGGAAACACTGGCTTAGTAATCAGAACACCTAGGTTTCAGTTCAACTTGACCTTGAGCAAATCACTGTCCTCCCTGTATTTGTCTCCCTTGGAAAAGAGAGGATGGGTATCTGTTTCATACATAAGAGGCTTCTGATCCAGTCAGACCTCCCTTCGTAACAAGATCGACTAGAAGTAGCTTAATTTAGGGGATAGAGCACCTGGCCTGCAATCAGGCCCTTTGCCAGTCAGATGGTTTGTGGCAGGTGAATTCCCACTACAGGCCTGTTTCCCATCTGTGAAGTGAGGGTTGGACAGGCAGGCTCCAAGTTCTCCCGCTGCAAAGTTCCATGATTGTACATCATCCTCAAATTATTCTGTAACTTGCACATTTATGAAGAGTTTAAAATTAATTGGTTTTTAAAAGTGCTTATTTACATTTGACTAGCCTTCCATAAATAAGATTATAGAGCATAAATCTGAATGTGTGTGTGTATATATATATATATATATATGTATGTATAAAGCACCCATTTGCACGAATTCTAATTTCTCATCTACTTTGGGCTAACTCGATTAGATAAATAATTCAGTTTTATTTACTGAAATCACTTTTGTGTAGGCAGAGACCATACAGTGTAGTGGGGAGGACAGAGGTTTGGGTCAATATGCAGATTCTAGCTCTGATACTTAAGAACTGCTCATCTTTAAGTTGCTTAAACTTTAGATTTGCTCGTTGGTAAAATGAGAATAATAGCACCTCCTGAGCAGTTTCAAGGTCTGAAAATGGCCTCTAAAAGGGCATCGCAGCACAGTGGCACATGGCAGGCCCCCAACAAATACACGACCAGGTTATTAAAAGCAGAGAGCTCACATCAGTCTGATAATGTACAACCGAAATTACGCAAAGAAACGCTTAACTACAAGGTGGGCTCACAGAAGGCAACTACCTGTACAATCGCTTTGCACATTATTAGAGTTATCCAGAGAGCTTTAAAATCCCCGACACCCGGCCACACGCCAGACCGTAACCAGAACCTCCAGGTGGGAACCAGGTGATCCCAATGTACAGCCAAGGGTAAGCTCTCCTGCCTCGCAGCCCAGCCTTTCTAGGTCTGCTCTCAGAATCCACATCTCCTGGCTTAAACGCTGGGTCCCAAGCTCCAGGGGTAGGCCTGGGAGTCATTAGGGCTTGGCATATGCATTAATTAGGCAACCTGATGGTGTGTGCGTGGTGATGGGGTTACTCTAGCAGTAACAGCAGTGGCAATAACAAGCTACTGGGCATCTGCGTGGCAGGTGGAACAACTGGCCTAGACAGAACTGCAGTGCACTAGGAATCAGCCTAGGACCCTGGCCGCAGGGAGCTGACCATCAACTACATGAGGCAGGCCCACCAAACAAGGACCTGTATGCCCCAAACAAGGAGGAATGCTATCAGGGCCGAACAGGAGTGCCAGGGAGCCAGAGGGAAAGCCACTTCCAGGAGCTGTCAGGCATGTTTTCCAGGAGATGGTGGCTTTGAGCTTGCCCTTGATAAATTCTTGTTAGATTTGGGCACGTCGAGACCCTGATCTGGTGAGTAGGAGCAATGGAAGCAGGCGGCCCTGCAGTGATGGCTCAAGTCTGCTCCTAGTTTTCCCATAATTCAGGCAGAGACCTTAATAGTCACCCCTGTTGTGGCTCTTGGATCCGACCCTGCACTGAGGACAAGGTCACCATGGCACTTGAAGCCTGCTATCCCTGATACTTGTGGAGAGAAATGGCTTAGAGCACTTTCCCAGCCACCCATTTTTTTTTCGTTCGGAGTGTAGTGTAGACATGGTAGAAAAAGAAGTCTCAAGACTGGAAGCCACTACACTATTTAGATGGCAGGTGTCACCGTCGTTTCAAAAGAACATGCAAGGCTCATCCCAATAGTTTGACTTTATTCAATTGATCCAACATGATCTCAGTGCAGAGCCACCTAAATAGAGCCAGGTCTCTGGAGGTGGTTTTGGGGCCATTCGATGATTATTTCAACTTTCTGTGTAGCTTAGACTAAGGAGGGTCAGGAACCAGGTCTGTCATGAACCGCTCATGGAAACAGCCCGCGACAGACGGCTGTTAACTTTACAGATCTAGTTCCATCTTCTCATGGCGCAGATGGGGGACTGAGGCCCCAGCAGGCAGAGGACATGTCCCAGTGGAGGAGGCTGGTGGGCCTGCTCCCAGGCCGTATGCAGCAGCTGGTATGTGGTCGGGCTGTCAGAGCTCGGAGGGCCCCGACCATCAGCCACTCCCACACTACACATGGGAAGTGACTCCTGAGGGCCACGACGAGAACTCTGCTCTTTCTTGCTTCTCTGACTCCTAACAGAAGCTTCCACACTGGAATATAAAAGAAATGAGTATGTGGCAGCATGGCCAGCCCAGAGAAAGGGGCCAAGTTAACAACTTTAAAAACAAATACTTTGAACAAATGACTGGATAAAAACTGGTTTCCCTAACATTGGTTTCTCACCTTCCATGAGCTGCTATTTCTGGACCAGGTGCAGAAAGGAGTGAAGGAAAAGGCAGCATCAGAATGAACTCCAAGGCTGAGGGATGGGGCAGGGGTGGGCTGGGGGCATCTAGACAACCTGCACTTGGCTCAGTAATTCCATGACGCCTTCTTTGGTGAGGAAGGTCACCTCACCGGTGTGCTGGCACCAAACCTCAAAATGGGCAGGGTCCTCCAGGGCCCTCTTGCCAGTGATGATCACAAAGGGGTAGCCAAATTTGTGGGTGTCTTTCAGTCTGTTTCCAATGGTCAGGTGGGTCCTGTCATCCAGCAGGACCTCCCCTCGCAGCTGCGGCACCGCCTCTGTGATGTGGTCGTACAGGTGCTCCGTGAGCTCTGTGGCCGCTGCCTCCTTACTGCCCTTCTTCGGGGGGATGAGGCAGACTTGGTAAGGGGCCAGAAGGCCAGGCCAGCGAATGCAGTCTTCTGTAGAGAGCACCTCGATGGCAGCAGCCAAGATCCGAGTCACACCCAAGCCATAGCACCCCATTTCAGCCAGGGATGGTTTGCCGTGGATGTTGATAAACTGGGCATTGAAAATGGAGGAGTACTTGGTGCCCAGGTAAAACGTATGCCCCAACTCAATGCCTTTGGTTTCGGTCAGTGGTCCCTGGCAAGCAGGACAGTTCCTTTGTGACAAGTCTAGTGTCTCCATGTTGGCTGAGAAGCTGCAGCTGTGACAGACTACGAACCGGTCCTCTCCAACATCCACTGGTAGCTGGAACTCATGCGACATCGTGCCCCCAATGCTACCCACGTCTGCCTGAACCTTGACACACCGCAGCCCCAGCCTGTCAAACAGGCTGGCGTAGGCATCACACACCAGGCTGTAGGTCTGCCGGGCAGCCTCTGGGGAAGAGTCAAAGGTGTACATGTCCTTCATGTAAAACTCTCGGCCACGGAGAAGACCAAAGCGGGGCCTGGGCTCGTCGCGAAACTTCCTTGTCACCTGGTACAGCAGGAACGGAAGCTGCCTGTAGGAAAGTGTCTTCTGGGAAGCGACCAGGGCTGTGATGGCTTCCTCGTGAGTTGGTCCTAAGCAGTATTCCTTGCCGTGTCTATCTCTAAGTCTTAGCAGCTCCTTGCCCATCAAGTCCCACCGGTTGGTGGCTCGCCAGAGCTCTGCTGGGCTGAGACTGGGCATGTTGACCTTCTGGCCCCCAATGGCCTGCATCTCCTGGTCTATCACCCGCACCAGCTTCTCCATGGCACGGACGGTGTAAGGCAGGAGGTGGTAACAGCCAGAGCTTGCTGGGTGGATCAGGCCCACCTGTAGCATCAGCCGCTGGCTCTTACAGGTCAGGTCTCCAGATCTGCCCTCCAGGGAGAGCACCTGGTCTTCCCGAAGGTTCTGGGGCTGGAACACTCGGGACAGCACCAAGCGCTTCCCTCTCCCTGGGGCACAGTGGTGAAACCTGCAGGGAACATACCCGGAGAGCTGGTGGCTGCAGGTGGCCAGCGCTCTGAATCTTGTCAGCAGCCCTTCCATGGCACCCCAGCACAGAGAAGCACTTGTGCCTGGAGAAAAATGAGTCGTGCACAAGTGAGTGTTAACTGTGTTCTGACCCCATGAAGCAGCCAGCTCAGTCGGGTCTCCAACAAACTTCTAAGACAACCACTGATTCTGCAGATGCAAATCCTTTCATTTCTGATTTGCTAGCAGATCCAAGTACTACTTCTCTTACTTCTCACTGCCGTGTAAAAAGTTAAAAAAAATCAGTATTTTTCCACTTACAAAAGAATATCACAGCATTCTGTGGAGAGACACAAATGGGTGGTGATTGCACAGGCTCTGGAACCAGGCAGCCTGGATTCCAGGTGAGCTGCCCGCTGATGGCACCCTGTGTAGCTTGGGACATGTGACTTAACCCCTCTGTACTTAGTTTCTTCATCTCTAAAATAGTAAAACGATAGGATCTACCTTGTAGGTTTATTGTAGGAATTTAGAAGAGTTATACAAAGTTATTAGGACAGTATCTGGCACATTCTATGAGCTCAATTGATGTCTGCTATTGTTATTACAGAAAACTGGGAAAAAACAAATAAAAAAGAAAAGGAAAGCAATTATAATTCCTCGGCCCAGAGACAACTGCACCTGACGAGCTCCTGTTTCTTTTGCCAGCCCTGTGCTTTGCTCACCCTGCTTAAATATTGTGTGCATCTTCCCTCCTCCTTCCCTCTCCCTCTCCCTCTCCCTCTCCCTCTCTTTCTCACACACACACACATGCACGCACACACGCACGCCCCCTGGTCAGGCCACATGCTAATGACTCCGAGACATCTCCACTTTGTGTGTGTCTCTCAAGCTTCAGACCTACCTATCCAACTGCCTCCTGGAGGGCACTCTGCACTTCAAACTTAGCACCCTCACCCCAAACCCGCCCCCCTCCAGTGCTGCCTGTCACTGAATGGCACTGCAAGCCACCCTTTGCCCAAACCAGAAACCTGGGTTCATCTCTGTCCCCCATGCCCCACATCCACCAACCCTCTCAGCCCTGTCATTCACACCTCTTCACTTGCTGTTCAGTCTGTCCCTTCTTTCCACCTCCACAGCCTCCACCCAGGTCCAGGCCACCACCATCTCACCTGGATACTGCCAACAGCCTCCTCACTGGGCTCCCCGCTTCCATCCCCTCCCTCCTCCAATCCACCCTCCATGCTGCAGCTACAGGGGCACTTCCAAAACACAGATGGTAACAGTTTTTCTTGCTTAATGTCCTCCAACAGCTTCTTGCTACCCTTAGAATTAAGTCTAAGCTTCTGACCTTCACGGTGCCCATGGCCCCACGTGAGCTGGCTGCTGGTCCCCTCTGGCCTCATCTAACTACATTGCCCTCTCCGTGTTCCAGCTGTACCCTGCTCCCTTTTCAACACACTGTCCCCTTTGCATACCAACATCTACCCATCCTCCAGGCCTCAGGGTTACCATCCTGTCCTCCAGGAGGCCTTCCTTGTCCCACTTCCCAGACCCCAGCGTCTCTTGCAGCAGTCCATGTGTCTCCAATCAAACACCAATCACTCTTTGGAATTATTGCTCACTGGGCTGTCCATCTTCCCCCAGGCACTCTGCTCTGTGCGGGCCACATCTAACCTGCTCTCCACTCAGCACACACAGTAGGGGCTTACTAGATATTGTCTGATGCATAAGCACGTAGGCTTCTCTATTTTACTAAATATTCACACATTTCTAATGGCAGTACATTTCACTGATTGACTATATTAAGAACAATGCTCTTATTACCAGAGAGTTGTTGGTTTTCTCTTTTACACATAATCTACAAAGAACAGAAAGCTATATATATATATATATATTTGGGAGAGGATTTCCAGGAATGGAATTACTGAGTCAAAGGGTATAAACTTTCAAGGTTCTTGATTTATATTGTCAAATTTAGCGAGCACCTCTGATTTTCAGCATATTCCATGGAGCAAAGCTCCCCTGCAGTATGCTGAGAATCGGTTACTGATTTCTCTCAGCTCTACGAAGCTGGAATCCCCAGCCGATCACCCCTAGCTTTCAGCCTCAAGTCTTCCAGCTGGTCCACTCCAACCTCAGGCAGTTTCATCCATTTCCCCTGTGCACTGTACAAATGTTATCATTTCCTGTGTGGCCTATGACCTAAAAAAGGTTGGGAGGCACTGCTACAGCATCCTAGTGTGACTGTATGGAGAAGTGTGGGCCCTGGAGACAAGGCACATGTGGTTTACACCTGCCTCTAGTTACTTGAGGTCCCACCTCAGGCCGGTGGCCCAAGCCAGAAATGCCTTCACCTTTGGCTCTTCCTAAAGCAAATGAATCTTTCTCCACGATTACTCTCAGGTCCACCGCCTTATTTCTGTCCCTTACTGCCTCAACCTTGAGTTAGCCCCTCAGTACCACTTGCCACATTACAGGAGACCAGTGGTTTTGAAACTTAAGTGACCATCAGAATCACCTGGTGGGCTTGTTACAACACTGATTGTGGGGCCTCATCCCCGCTAATTCTGATTCAGTAGGTCTGGGGTACCGGCAGAAAACCTGTATTTCTTACAAGTTCCCAGGGACCACACTGGGAACACCACTGCAGAAGCCTAACTGTTCACCCACTCTGATTTAGACCGTAAACTCCGTGCAGGCAGGAACCATGTTTATTTTACTCCAAGTTGTATCTCTGCAGCATCCAGAAGGGTGCCTGGACACAGCAGACACTCAATAAATGTCTACCAGTGAATAAGCTGAATGATTCTGAACCCGGCTGTCCAGTCTCCAGATTACAGATATTTTGATCCGATCGCTCTCCTGTTTATAATCCACTAATGGCTCCCCATAATTTTCTCGGAATGGTACCAAAGCCTCTTCATATTTTTATCCCAACATACCGCTTTTAGCTTCTTATCCTATCATTCCCCTAACATGCCCCAAATTGCTCATCATTCCCGGAACAGGCAAACTTCTCGCCCAGCAACTCCATCATTTGGAGGTTCACTTATTGCAAGAAGCCTTCTCCAACACCTCCAAACAGAGATAGTCACTCTCTTCTCTGTGTTCCCGCTGCAAACACCTCTTTATAGCATACTGTACTGGAATAATTTCCAAACATGTTTCTGAGAAACTGCTGTGTGCCAGGCATTGGGAGTGAACACTGTTTCACGCCCCATTCCCCGTTAAACTATGAGTTCATGAGGTTTTCTGCATTTTTTAGATTTCAGGGCCTAGGACAATGCCTAAAGGCTATTATTGTTTGTTGATCAAAAGTATTAGCAAATGAAGAGCAAAGTGAAGGGGTCCAATGGGAAACTATCTGGGTAATTTAAATAAGAGCCTTAACCCCCCTGTCCCCAGCCCCAAATGTGTGCCCGTGCTCAGACCCCTCAGCTTACGCCAACAGGAGAACAATTATCTCAATTTTTCCACAGACAATACCATGAAAGCAATATAGTAACTAATGTGTCCTGCACCTCAGACTCTGGAAAAGAGACTCTGAGTCATTCACTCATTCAGTAAATTTTTATAAAGCACCTAGTCTGTCCTTCCAGCACATGCCTTTTTTTAAGGTTCTTTTAAAACAGTACAATGGCCATGCAATCCAAGCAGGGAGCTGTGCATAAAGTGCTTGTACCAGGGCTCAGTATATAGTGTTTGCTATTATCATTATGTCCAACTCACAGAAAAGGGAGGCTTAGAGATGTGAAGTCACTGTGTCATGCGACATGACAGAGCACAGGGCCATAACTGTAGGCTAAGTCCCTGCTTCCAATTCCCACGAAGCCTCTATCACGGACCATGCTGCAAAAAACAGCAGTGGAACTCTAGACCTAGTTCTAAGAACTGGCTCGGTCTTCACTGGCTGGATCAAATGAGTTTTCCGACTTCAGTTTTCCCATTTGTAAAATGGTCAAGTTGTCTCAGCCACCAGGTGATCCTTGAGGGTCTATCCAGGGCTGGCACTTCTAGGAACACCTGCACCGCAACAACCAGAAGTAGACAAGGGAGGAAGTCCTGCCCTCAAGTTTTTCACGGAGGAAACTGAGACTAGAAGAGTGCTCTCCAAAAGTTTAAATGACTGTGACACCGTCCAAACCCAAGGACGGGCTGCACATGGGAAAGCGGACATCAGGGTCCTGGGTCTCCGCGCCCAGAATCCACTCTTGGCCCCACCGCCCCCTTCCCGTTCCTCAACCCTCTCTGTCACCCACGCTCACCAATTGCTGATCCAGCCAACGCAGCCCCGGGGACCGCCATGCGGGGCAAACGCGCCTGCGCCAGGGGCGTGTCCACTAAAGATCCGCCCCTTGCCCTTCTAGCCAATCACAAAGCCGCGCTCACGGGGTAGTCGCCAGTGAGAAGTGTTCCGGAAGCCTAGCCAAGGAGAGAGAACCCGGCTCTCTCCAAGATCACAGATTGGCCGGGGCAGCAATGAGTAAATCAACGTTCCGGAAGTGTCCTCTAGGATTTAGGGAGGTGTAACTCTATGATCGAAGACGATTTTCCGGGTTTTGAGTCTAGTGTTCCCTCCCACTGCCAGGGCCCGCCCCACTCTCGGAATAGGAGAGCAGCTGGCTTCCGTGTAACCATGACAACAGTGGGCCATACAGTTGCGAATCTGCCCTATTATTTTACAGGTTTTCAATTTAAATAAATTTAAAAAGTTTAAACAATTGGAAAAAATCACCTTTATTACAAAGCCCAACACCGCCTTTAAGCCACTAAGTAACACACTCACAAAATATTTTTTGAGCTGCAACCATGTCAACCACTGTTGTAGAAACTGGGAATAGTGAACAAAACAGACAAACAAAATTCCCTGTAGTTAATGTAGCTCATATTCTAGTCAATAAACCAATACAGTGAAGCGTAAGGGGAGGCCAAAGAACTCAGTAATCAAGAGAAGTGGTATTTTAATGTAATTAATTTTAAAAATTAAGGCAAAAATCCATGGTGAACAAATTATCAAAATTTTATATAAAGACAGGATCCACCAGTCAGATGTTGTTAAATATTATGGAGAAAAATTAATTGGGGAAGGGGACAGATTGGAGGTCAAGTGGTTGCAATTTAAAATAGGATGATCAGGAAAGCCTTATTGAGAAGGTGACATTTTAGCAAAGGCCTGAATTGATGACAGAGCCTTGCAGATATCTGGGGGAAGAATGTTGCAGACATTGAGAACAACAAGTGCAAATGTGCTGAGGCAGGAGCTGCATATCACATAACTTGACTTGAGTAATAACAGCTCTAGTTTATTGAGTGGTTAAAATGTACCAGACCCAGTGCAATGCACTGGTCATTCTGATAGTGACCCCAAGAATCTCTCAGCCTACCCAGGATCTGCCGGGAACAACGTGGTGTAATCAGTGGTGTAATGGGGGCTGAGTAACTTCTGGTGGGAGTGTCGAGAAGGAGGACTTCACTGAGGAGGTGAGCTTGGAGCTGAGCCTGAAGGATGCGTGGGTTTGCCAGGACAAGAATGGCAATGGGAGTGATGGAGAATATCCAGGCAGTGGGACAAGACAGTCACAGGCATGGAATCAGAAATGATGAGTGGGTATGAGGGAAGCATGAGGTGTGGTAGGGTTTATATCGTCTCTTCCCACCACTCTTCACACAGTGCTTGACTCACAGGCCAAATGCGGTTCTCAACCTTGACTACACTGGAATTACCATATGCCCCCCCAGCCCTAGCCCTGAAATGCTGGTTATTGATCTGGGTAGACCTGGGCATCAGTACTTTATAGTCCCTCGGATGATCCTAATGTGTGGCCTGGGTGGATCTGCTGGCCTTGAGGAAAAGCGCTAGAAAATCTGGTGGACGGATGGGGGAGATGGTGGATGCGTGTTATCATCGCAGTCTTACATTTGAGGAAATACACCTTGGATGGACCACACAATTGCTATCTGCCCAACCAGCTAGTTGGCCGGGCAGAGCTGGGCTGGACCTGAGTGCTTTTGCTCTAAGAGTGTGGCTCAGCCTCTGCAGCCCAGCACTGTGGTGGGGGCTTTCCCCAAGGTGTGCAGTCCCAAAGGTTTTACTGAGACAATATTCCCCACGCTTCTTCCTTCGAGGGAGGAGGTGTGTATAATCTTCAGTATATTTCGGGCTCCAAAGCAGCCTTATAGTTCTGCCTGCTCCCCATGCACATTATTACATCCCTTCCAATCCTGGAAAAGCCAACATCCGTCCTCTGCACCCTGAGGTGTTAATTATTTCTCAATTAGCAGTTCCCAAGCTGTAGTGCATAGTGGTGTGGAGAGTCCTAATGACTTGCTGTGTTTATACACCCCACATCTTCAGAACACTTTACCAATGGTAACTAATTAATGCTCACGACCCCCTTGGGAGGCAGGCTGAGAACTGCTGCATTTACTTCGAGTTTGCAGGAGGCTCTATAGCCTGGAGCTGCAGAGCCTGCTCAAGCCAGCCATGGATGGTCAGAGTAGATTTGCTCCCCACTGAAAAAGGCCAAGGTGGTGGAGACCCAAAATCTAGCCCTATCACTACTAGTGACTTCCTGTGTGTCATGTCAATCAATCAATTGATCCGTCATTTATTGGCTGCGTTTACAGAGCTCATTCATGGTTAAAACCCCACAAATTCCCTAAAACAGAGAAAAAAAAATCCCACAGAACAAATCATTCATTCATTGTCATTCAAAACAAAAGGACCCCAGACCTGCCGTTAGTGGTTTCCATTGGCCTCTGGCCAGATGGGGAGCCCCTGGGGCAGGCACAGGTTTTGCTCTTTTCTATACTTTGAGCACAGAGCCTGAACCAGATGGGGATTAGCAAAAGGTTTTGCTTTTGTGTTTGTTGTTTTACTATATCAATCAATAAATGAACGGATGGTTTGTCTCTCCCTCAAGTCAGAGCTCTTCCAAGGACACACGGAGTCATTCCTGCATCCAGAGCCATGGCCTGGCACAGAAAGGGGCTCTGAGTGTGTGTTGAATGAACAAACGAAGGCAGATTTAATGGTGAACTCCCTGACCTCAAGTTGCTCATAACCTCCTGGAGAAGCTCCCTCTCAAAGGGGGAGTCTCAGCAGCCTGAGGCAAGAAGCTGTGAAGAGGGGAAAGCAAGATGCCGGAGGGAGCAGCATTGCAAGGATGGGGGTGGTGGGATCAAGGAAGGCTTCTTGAAGGAGGGGACATGGAACTGGACTTTAAAGGATAATGAGGATAATGAGGAGCTTCCCAGGCTGAACAGGGGGCGATAGAAAGACACGCTAGTCAGAGGGGGCAGTAAGTCACGATTAGCTGTAAGGAAGAAGGTTTAAAGATACTTCTAGATCACAAATACTCCCATGTGTCGTGCAAGCACCACAGGAAAGGCAGTGGACGCCAGTGTGGCAGGGCCTGCTGGACCAGGCTGCGTGTTTCTCTTCATCTGTGAGCCTGGTGAAACCTTTTCTCTGAAAAATGATACTCCCCTCCCCACACAACATACACACATCTGTTTTGAGGCTTAGCCTAAAGCAACTCTTTTTCTGAGAGAAATCCCTGGACATTTTGCATTCCACTGTACAGCATATATTTATTATAATTGGCAAACAAGTATAATTGCCACTCCAGGAAGGTGGCCACCTCCTCTGCTGAGGACACTGGCTAGTGTGAGAAGGAGGCCTGTGGGCAACAGAAGGGTTTTACACCAGGGATGGTCAACTGTGTTTCTTTGCCTGAGTGAGGTGTGGACTGAGGTGAGAGGAAGGAGATGGAGAGAGGCCAGGTGAGAAACTCCTACAATGGCCCAGACTGGGGCAGTGGGTAGTAGAGGAGGGGACAGACTCCAGAGAACCATCAGGACAGTTCATCTGATGGACTCCTGAGCCCACCCCCGCCCATTAGCCCAACGTGCTCCAGATAGGCTAGGCTGGAAATGGGAGGACAGCCTTGAATTGGATCCTACCCAGCCACTTCCTAGATATGTAACCTTGGGCCAGTTACTTCCTCATATCTTCATCAGTAAGACAGGAGTCATAATACCACGACATAGGGGTGTTCTGTGGGTTCAATGAGAAATGTAATTGAAAGCATATGACCCATCCCTTAGCCCATTCTGATTTGGGAACTGCACGACTCCCCTTGCACACCGTAAGAAGAGAACCATCATTTTGCTGCTGCCTCTATTTCCAAAGAACTCCCCACTCTGCCACTGTGTGGCATGCCAATCCACTTCCATCTTCATGGGCCTCTTCTCCTTGGGCCCAGAGAGTACCATTTGTTTCTTGGTTCAGTGCCTAAGTCTAAGATGATAGAGATCAGAAAGGGGCTGGGAAGGTAGGCCCCATAGAGTTGTGATGAAGATGCAAGGAGTTGGTCCATGTGAGGGGCTCAGCATATGCCTGGCACAGAGTAGGTGATGCAGGACACACAAAAAAATTCCTCTTCATCCTTATAGACTGGGAGCTCTCAGAGGGGAGGGCCCCTGTCCTGTTCATCTCTAGCCTTGCCATAATAAATCTGTTTACTGTGTAAAAAGATTTTGCACATAGTAAACCTCAATTTCACCTAGTAAATACCGATACTTAAGTGCTGAATTAATGTCTTTCTAAATAATTCCCTCCATTCTTAAGAATGCCCTGCTAAAAATGCAACCAAACAAAACCTCAGTGGTAGTTAATCCATCAATCAACAATTTCTTTTTCAAGTACTTGCTTTGGGTTAGCTCTGCAGAACACTAGCAGAGCCCGAAGAAATCTGTGGCACAGCATAGGTGCCCTGGGACAAAGGGAATGATCAAAGGTCTGTGAGTTCTGGGTGTGACTCCAGCAGTTTATCTGGTCACTCTCATCTGGAAGGGTGATGGAAACTGAGTTCCTTTCAAGACGCCTTTACTTTTTCTCTTTGGTACAGGATTTGGGTGAGGTGCGAGTAGAAGAGGTAGAGTTCATGCCTTCCAAGGCTGGTGAGTTAGAGGGAGGAATACAGCATTTGGATCCAGACAGACCTGGGTTTGCCTTCCAGCTGTAGCACTTACTGGCTGTGTGACCTGAGCCAAGGGACTTGACCTGTCTGGTCTTTGACTCTACTACAGTGAGGTCACTAACCTTGAAATGCTGTGAAGAGCAAGCAAACAACATTACAGAATAACTTTGTAAACTGCAAGTTCTGTGTACATATTAGTAATAGAAATATATTCAGATCATTCTTTTGTGAGATTAAGTGTGTAATGAGATAATGACTTTTAAGTAATTAAATGAGAGTATGTATGTAAAGAACTTGAAGGGCGCCTGGTACTTAGTGCTAAATATAGAATTAACTTTGTTAATGCTC